TGTTTAGGCTTCACTTCTGAAACTTTAATGTGAATTTTAAGTCACTTGGGTGTCACATTGAAATGAGGTTCTGATTCAGTAGGTCTGGGGTGGGGTCTGAGAGTCTGCATCTCTAACAGGCTCCCAGGTGACACTGATGCTGCTGGTCTGGGACCACACTTTGAGCAGAAAGCATCACAATATAGTATAGAGAGAGGCAGAGACAGAGACAGTAATTTTATCTTCATTGACCTCATTTCCTTCTCACACGAATGCTGAGAATGAATACAGGAGGTTCTTTACGACCCTTTCATAGATTAAAAACAAACAGACAAACACTGACTCTGGGAGAATACACTTTTCCCAAGGGTATCACAAGTGCTGAGGCTTGGATTCATTTATTCATCAGCAGTACCCCAAATCCCCAACTTAGCCCTCTATGCTGCCCCCTAACCTTAGTGGCTGACCACAGCCATGGCTCTTCAGACTCTGGATGCAGGCTTGGCATCTGCTGACTGTGGCCTCCCAAGCCTCACACTGACCACATTGACAGCCATAACCCCTTTCTCCGTGTTTGGCCTCTGCTGACATTCACGAGTTTGGCGGCTACCGGGACAATGGACTGAGGACCACAGAGATTGGGATAAGAATGAAGTTTAAAGAACACAGGAGCACTTATCACCTCTAGGACTCAGCCAGGTCTCTGAGCACCTGACATCCCCTCCACACTGCACTGTGTCCCTGAACAAGTTACCTGCAGACCACAAGCCACTGTTCCAAGGGGAATGGGAGAGACCTGCACTTGGTGAGCACCTGCAACGTGTAGGAGTTTGCACAAGTGACTTCCTTGAGTCATCTCATGCAAGAGGTGGAACATGGGTTACAATCTTCACTTGTACGTGTATTTATTCATTCAACACTAGTTAAGGATCAGCTATGCTCTAGGCATTGAATAGAGATAAATATAAGATACACTCCTTCTCTTTAAGGGATGCTTGAAGAGTGGGTGACAGGCTAAAAATCACCCAGCTAAGAAGTGTTGTGGCAGGATCAGGAAACCATCATCTCCCTAGCCTAAACCTATCATTTTTTTCCAACACCAATGAACCCGTTGGACCAGCAGCCTTCATTATCTGAAAAGTCTGTTAATAATACAGAGATTATGATTCAGTAGCTTTTGCAAGAGGCCCTATAGTTGGCATTCTTAGCAATGTCACACCAAGAAATTCTGATCCTAGCAAACTTCAGATCATACATAGAGGGTGCAGGAGCATTGACCATGTTAGGCCACCCTGAGATCCTGCTTAGTGCAGAGAGAGCACACATCCTCCTACCTCGCGGAGACTGAGTCGACTGGAAAGAAGAGTGCAGTTATTGCATCCAGCCAGATTTGGAAGCAATATAACAAATGTTACGTCTGAAGACAGGAATGCAGCCCTGCTAGAATGCTGCAGGGCTGGCAGAGTGTGTGGGTCGGGCAGCCCGACAGTCCCACCCTTACGCTCACATCACATCATGTTATTAAGACCTGTGTTCCTCCGTACTGGTATCCCGCCATGTGATTATTGCACTGTGGCTCTCAGTCCCACAATCCTAAGGGATGAGCCACCTGGGTCCTTATGTAGGCAGATGCCCTCAGTAATCACGCTCCTCAAGTAATTGCACAGTCTGGAGTTAACCCCAGACCCAACAGGAAATCACCCAGAGCAACCCATTAGGAAGGAGAATGGGAGCATAATGGACCCATCTGGACAGAGGAGCTGAGCCCAGATGAGGTAGGGACAACTGAGATGGTAGAAAGAGTACTGAGATGAGAGTCCTGGGTTCCAGACCTAATCACTGACTGCAGAAGCCTCAGGAAGTCATGTCTCCTTTCTGGGCCATTGAGTCCTCATGAGTAAGATCCTTTCTGGCTCTGATTTTCTGAGTCCTTGATATTATTACAGGGTGAAGACACTTGCTCAGCTTGAAATGAGAAGCCTGAGATCCACTCCCGGTTCTTTTCTCATTGCACCCTTCACTCTTGGAAAACTGGTCCACTCCTTTCCCCAGAAGGCATCTGACTCGCTCCCATCCTGATTTCCTTCTCCCTCCCTTCATATCTATAGGGCTACTGGGGTATCTCATAGAATCAAGAAAATTTGATTCAGAAAGGGAAAGAAAATGGGCATATTCCAAAAGCAAGAGTTTGCAGCCCCTATTTCTAGTATGCTACCATTAGCTGCTGCCAGCACCACCACCTTTATATCGTTCTGATTTAATTATTAAACTCTAGGAGACAGAGAATTTTATTGCCCAGGTGGGATTGGATGCCTAGTCCTGACTCAACCAGGTATGGCCAGGTGGACAGGGTTGCTGCAAGGAAATATGGCCAGTTACAGTCCACTGCATGTTAGAGGCAGTCTACAGAAAAGGGAGCTGCCATACTAGGGCTGAAAGCAATAATAATTCCAGGGGGACTCTAGCCTTTCCTGTCCTTCCACCTCTTCCTCTACCACTGACGCTCTGTCCTTTCCTAGGCCCACATGGGCTCCTGCAGGATACAAAACTCAGTGCTCATGACAGCACTGAGCCCTTTGACCCTGACCCTCCACAAAGCACATGCTAGCAGCTTCTTCCTAGAGGTATGTTATTCACTCTGTTCCCAGAGGTCAGCCTTCACTCAGAGCTCATGGATTCTGGAGCTGGGTAGAACACTGACTATGATCTGTCACAGCAGAATAGTCAGCTGACTGCCCTCTTCCAGGAATCCTGCCAGTAAATCTTTATGGGGCATTTATTATACTGTAAAGGTCTGTGCTCAGTGCTGTGGACAAAGACAAGCTCAGAAGTACATAGACTCTCTTCCCAAGAAGTCCATACAGGAGAGAGAATAGAAAACAGATAACAATGTAACTAAACAGTTCCCAAAAACTTTCAGGAGCCAAGCACAGAAAGCAGTGGGCGAACTTTAGGAAAGGAGAGAGGTCAGTAAAGCATTTCCAGGGAAGGTGGCATGGTAAATTGCTCTTAGACGAAGAGTAGAGGTCAGCCAAAAGAAAGGATGGAAGACAATTTCAGGCAGAAGGAACAGCCCGGGAAAAGGCTCAGAGGCATTCTGTAATACAGCAAAGGAAGAGCTCGTCTATGTGAGGTGAACAGAACACGTGAGGCACACAGTCCAGTGAAGTTAAGACTGGAGGGCTGGGCAGGGGTTACACCATGTTATACAGAGCAGATCCTGCTGAACCTGCTGAGCAGTGTGGAGGAGGGGACGGGAGTGGGAGACAAGGGTGATTACAGTCATCCAGATGAGGGATGATAGAGATAAGCTACAAGGTAGAATTTAAGCTAAGACCTAGAAGACAAGAAGGAGTCAGCCATAGGGAAACGAGATAAAAGAATATTCTAGGCAGAGAAACAAAAAAACTTGTGAAGTCCCCAAGGAGGGAAGACACATGAAGCAATAAAAAGTCAGGGGGTGGCTGAAGGAAGGAAGAGCAGCGAGGTCGGTGAGGGAGGCAAACCCTGAGGTCCACCCTGGCCGTGTTTGAATTTTCTTCACAGAAAAGCCTTTGGAGCATTCTAAACAGCCAGTTTCCATGATCTTACTAGCATTCGTTTCTAAAGATTCTCTTATTGTGTGGCCAGTGGGATGACAGGAAGCGATAATGCAAGTAGGAAGAACAGACAGGAGTTTATCGACATATTCCAGGCAAGAATGATCAGGATGGCCAAGGGGGTAGCGTGACTTGGGCAGATTAGAAAGTTTTGCAGATAGAATTAGCAGAAATAGTTCATGGATTAGAGAAGTGGTGATAAGAGAGAAATCCTGACTTGTTTGCAAGTGCAACTGAATATACAATAGTGCATGTACCAAGACGGGGAAGACAGGCAGATGAGCAAGGTCTGATTCTGGGGGTGGTTAGAGGAAATATGAAAATCAAGGGCTCTCTTTAGAATGTGTTCCGTTTGAGACACATTTTAGATCTCTCTCTCTCTTTTTTTTTTTTTTTTTTTTTTTGAGACAGAGTTTCGCTCTTGTTACCAAGGCTGGAGTGCAATGGCGCGATCTCGGCTCACCGCAACCTCCGCCTCCTGGGTTCAAGCAATTCTCCTGCCTCAGCCTCCTGAGTAGCTGGGACTACAGGCACGCGCCACCATGCCCAGCTAATTTTTTGTATTTTTAGTAGAGATGGGGTTTCACCATGTTGACCAGGATGGTCTCGATCTCTTGACATCGTGATCCACCCACATCGGCCTCCCAAAGTGCTGGGATTACAGGCTTGAGCCACCGCGCCCGGCCTGCATTTTAGATCTCTAACAGAAGATGTCACCTAGCAGATGGTTACATAGTTTTCACTCTATGGCTAGAGACAAAAAGTTGTATTTGGCCATTTCTCAGCTCTCATTTTACCTGCCCTATCTGCTACATCAGATACAGTTGTTAACTTTTTCCTTCTTGAAATATCTTTCTACCCCACAACCCCCACCATCCAGCCCCACCGAAATCCCCCTGCTTTTGCTTTATCTGAAACCACATTCTCTCACAGGCTGGTAATAATCTCACAGACTAGTCCAACTCAATTTTCTCTTCTTCTCTGTCTTAAAATGTTGGTGAGCCACAGTTATGATCCCAAACCTCCTTTGTTCTGTCTCACTTTCTGTCTAGATACCTCCAGTACCACCAGTCCCATATCTTCAAATGCCATTTATATGCTGTATCTGATGTAGCACATAGGGCAGGTAAAATGTGAACTGAGAAATAGCCATTAGATTTATATCCCAACCCTTTAAGGGTTGGCCCACAGTAGATGCTCAATAAAATATAAGTTAAATTCAGTGACTGAAAGACCTAGCCCAGGAATGGCAAATATAGAACATTTTTAGCTTCCAGGTTATCACAATTATTGCCTTTTTGAAAAACAAATTGATGCTCAGCCTCAGAATCCCTCAGCACTATCGAGTAATTGGAATTGTCATGCAAATTTAATCTATTTGCCATTCCTGGTTTAGACTCAACAATCAGAACAGGACTTTACCTCAGAGTTGTTCAATGGAGCCTCATTAGCACAGCTTCAGGAGGAAACACAAACCATCTGCCAAGGTCTTGCAGGGGGAATTCCTGCTCTGGTGGGGACTGAACCAGATGATCGGGTGATCGCTGAGGCCCTTCAGAGAGTCTGTGGTTCAGATGGCAATTCTCTCTAACATGCAGCTGTTCAAAGTACAGAGAAAAATCCAACCCAGCCTAGGGTTAATAAGTGCAAAATAAATCTTCCCTAAAACTTCCTCCTATGCATTTTTTCTCCCTCTTATCTTTACCAGCCTCCTGAAATGTCTTATCTGCAAAGGCATGGTTCTATTCTAAATCTCTATCAACACAATTACCATTTTCCCTTCTTCCACACAGTAACATTAACCTAACTTACCCATTCAGCCATAGGCAGACTGTCTTCATCTCTAAATGATGCACTCCCCCACATAAAATAAAGGCAGACAGTTTCATTCTTTAGTCCAAAGTACTTACCATTATGGAGAGAATTCTGCTGCGGACAACTCCTGAGTCTTTGGAACCTTAATACTTTGAAATTTATTCCTCTTCACCACCTGGAGGCTCATGAGTCCATTTGTGGCCTTTCCCACCTAATGCTGCCTTGCAAGCTAATGAGCAGTTGGTTCATAGACATGCAAGTATATCTCTTCTATTAGGACTCGTACATCCATACTGCAGTTGAAAGGGCAGAAAATTAACCAGCAGAAGTGTCTCAGTGCCCTCTATCTCCTGTCACCTTTATTCAATACTTCAGTGAACATGTACTGCATGTCAGATTCCACGTTACTTTCTAGAATAGAATCGAGAGGTACAGGGAGGAATAAGGTTTGGTTTTCTTTCCCACCTGGAGCTCATAAATGGGCTTTACAAGTTCTATATGTCCTTCTGAAATGATATGCAAAATGGTGTGTGTGTGTGTCTGCCTCCAGAAAGAAGTTTATAATTGTCTTCAGATTTAGAATCCAAAAGGGCTAGGGATTCCTGGGGATCTAAAGTCAGCTTTGACACTTCCCTTCCCGTCATCCCTAATGATGTACAAACCAATCACTGAAGATTGCCAGGTTTGCTGTCTTTGCCCCCAAACTGCTCTAGATCTATCTCCCACTGTCCATCCCCCACCTGAGTTCAATCTACCCTCATTTCATTAGCTAACAGTCTCCCACATGGTGTCTCTGCCATCCTCCAATCTATTCCCCACACTGAAGTCAGAGCATATTTTCAGCTCTCTAATCTGATCCTTTCCATCTCTTGCTTAAAACCTTTTAATGGCTTCCCACTGCTCTGAGCATAAATGCCAAGCCATAAACTTTCTCATGAGCATTTACAATCATCACACATTGTTCTCTATTACTCTCTTCACTCTGTGAACTCCAGCCTCATCCAACCTCATTCTCATCTTTAAATTCTCTATCCGCTCTCCTGCCATGTGGTTTGGGCACATTCTGCAATCTCTACCTCAAAGGCTTCTTTTCCTCTCCCTTCGCCAAATTATATTGTAATAATCATTTCTACCAGCCACTTCCCCGACCTCCCTGACTAGGCTAAACGCACTATTGTAAAACCTCCTAGCTCCGTAAACTTCATGCTCTTTGTCCAAGTTCGAATTGTGCAGGCTTGATATGATTAATGTTTATCCCTCAGCAAACCTGACTGTGCATCATTGTATCCTAGGGCTTAGTGGAACACTGGGTACATAGAAGGCAAGAGTTTGATTAATACTCAGCGAATGAACAAATGAATAACTGAGTGGGTGAGAAAAGAAGGCATGTAGCAGATGCTAAAATAAAAGAAAGCACTGAGCATTGCCACAGCACAAAAAAAAAGGGCACATGTCATTAGGAGATCATAAGGGCAAGGAGTGCACCTCCTATATCTTTAGTGTCTAGTCCAGAGTTTATGATGCATGTATATATGCAATGTACATTGAATGAAAACATGAAATAGCAACTAACTCTACCTGGGTGACTGACAGGAGGCTTCAAGAGGACAGCGTTTAACATCAGTCATAAAGGAAAACTAAAAGTATTCAGATCAAAGGGAAAAAGAGGCAGGCAAGGGGCATTTCAGACAGAAGAAAAGGCAGGTACAATGGCATGAAGCCACAGAAAAGGAGGAAAAGTTCTTTGCAGAAAAAAGGAGATTAGGTGAAACAAACATGGAGTTGTGCTTCCTGGGTCCTCCTCCTGATTCCCTCCTGGGAGGGAAAAATGTTGTTTTCCCAAATGCTGGAAGCATTTGCAGAGAAACATCTCCAGCAGTCAGCTCCCTAGGGGTGGCCTGGGCTACGGAGAGCCATCTTACCCAGGGTCACGCCATTCCAGGAGTGACCACTCCCCACCTCTGCTCAGACATTTGGGTCCACTGAGGGACAATCTTAGCAGCTCTTTTCTCCAGAGCTCCCATTGGGGTACCACTATTGGTATTCCATTACCATGGTTTAACTCTTCCCTCCACCTTCCTCTCACAGGTGTTGATCTCACCTGAACACCAAACTCTGTACTTGAGTCTCCTTCTCAGAGAACTAGACTGAAAGCCTGGGTTATGCCATGAGTGGGTTTATGCAGAGGAATCAACTAGAAAGGTAGTTGAGAGCAGGATGGTGAGGATTCTGTAATGCATGCCAATAGGTATGAACTTACGCAGCTGACAGTGAGAGACCAGGGGCCTTGTAATAAGAGGGTGCTGAGTTTAGAGTCTTGTATTGGAAAGACTTCTCTGGCTGCTGTACAATGACTCTATTAGAAGGAGGCAGAGAGGCCCGCTGAAAGACCGTTGGACTTGTCCAGGAAGGTGAAATGTGAGTTCCAAGATGGAGAAATAATGGGTCGTGGAGAAGAGGGGTGGTGTTGAGCAATTTAGGAGGAAAAATCAAAAGTCCCTCATAACACATTGACTACGGGGACAGAGTAGGGATGAATGCATAATGACACAGAGAGGGTGTGCTAATTCATTCCTAGGAGTGGCAGGGAGAGAACTCCTAATTTTTAAATTTCCACTTAGAATAGGAGTTCTTTCTTTTAAAGCCTTTTCCAAGGCACTCCGTGTAGCAGAGAATTCAAATGGTAACCAGGACTCTCCTAGAGCCTAAAATACATAATAAGCCAGCAAAGTCTTATGCAAAAAGCAAAGTCATTAGCAAAGTTTGTGTTTGTTCATCAAGATTAAGATCTTGGAAATTTTTGCCTGATATCATTAGTCATCATGCTTGCTAAAGAACATTCTTCTGTTAAACAGACGGGGATTCAAATAAAAGGAGCAAACATATCAATATGCAAGAAGGAAGGCCATATTATTAATACAGAATGAAGCAGAACCTGGCAGGATTATCCTTCATTCAACAAGTATTTAGTGAGCATCTTCTACATGCCAACCATTATGCTATGGGCTGGGAATACAATGATGAGCAAAAACCTGCAGAGTTCACACCACAAAGCAAGCACACATCTGGAGAAATTTAACATAAATTAATTATGTGTTGCTGGTTCCAGCGTGCCCCTCTTCATCCATTTAGTTCAAATGTATTTCTATAGCTCCTACTTTTGCACTGAAATTTCCTTTCATGTTTTTTCTCATTCATTGTGGCATAATAGAAAGAGTAGACAGGCATACCAATTGCCTTACTAATCATGTGACCTCGAGTAAATTCGACACCCTTCCAATGGGGCCAGTTATACCAATCTCCCAGGTATGCTTGAAAATGCACTAAGATACTATGTACAACAGCCAGTTAGGTATGCAACATATCATATAAGCCTTTATGTGAATTCAACTATACCAAATGGAGATGGGAATGAGGGTGAGAGAGAGACAATAATTTAAATATATAACTAGGGCTGACTACATAATTTGCAGGGCCCAGAGAAAAGTGAAATTGAGAGACTCCTTATTCAAAAATTAAGAATTTCAAGATAGTGATAGCAGAGCACTGGGCCAAGTACAGGGTTCTTCTGAGTGTGAGGCCTTTTGCAATGCCACAGAATGCACAACCATGAAGTCAGCCCTGGACTTTTCTTATTCCCATATCCCAGTGCTTCTTGGTTCCCATGTATATCTAATATGTTAATAAGTTCTGCGATTAATATGATCTCAATACTAAAATATATGTTTTGTTTACTTGATTTTTGTTTACTTTGGCCACTAACCAGAAACAGCCTTATTTTCATGTCCATAAAATCATATATGCAGTCATTTAGCTTAAGGGATTTTCAAGGGTAGTTGTATTCGTTCATTTTCATGCTGCTGATAAAGACAGACCTGAAACTGGGAATGAAAAGAGGCTTAAGTGGACTTGCAGTTCCACATGACTGGGGAGGCCTCAGAGACATGGTGTTAGGCAAAAGGCATTTCTAACATGGCAAAGGCAAGAGCTAATGAAGAAGAAACAAAGCGGAAACCCCTGACAAACCCATCAGACCTCATGATACTTAGTCACTGTCATGAGAATAGCACAGGAAAGACAGGTTCCCATGATTCAATTACTCCCCCGCCTCCCCGCCGGGACCCTCCCACAACATATGGGAATTCTGGTAGATATAATTCAAGTTGAGATTTGGGTGGGGCACAGTTAAACCGTATCAGTAGTTTTTACAATATTTTCCTGTTACACACTGGCTTACTACAGCCTGCAGGAGGTGAGAGCTCACTATAGCTGTCATTTCTTCTGAGCCTTTGACTGTAGGAATCAACCTTGTACCCGAGTCTGGATCACATGCTTTGCAGTGAGAACTTCATTCAAGCCACACAGTAAGCCAGCAGGATAAATAATAACATCCTCATTCTCTAAAGGACGGGGAAAGAGAGCCTCAGAGCAGGAAAGCAATTTCCTTAAAGTTACCCAGAAAATAAGTGGCAAATTGGGTATTCAAGTATGGGTCTTTGGAGCCCACAGTCCACATTCATTCACTGATGTCTTAATAAATGTTTGTTCCTTCCAACATTCTTCTGCAAATCTTGCCCCAACCTTTTGAAATGAAGAATTGTTTGGAAAATGAGAAACCTGATTTTCTGCATCCTGGTAGCAAAGAATGGTTTACCAATTCAGTTCAGGCACGTAACGCCAGAGGCAGAGCAACAGGAGAGCCTGGAAGTCTGGCCTGTGCTTCTAGAGCTCTGATTGCCACATGATGAAAACTCAGGGCTGACATCACTAGTCTCCAGCCTCCCAAACATGAGCCCATGTGGAGAGAATGCTATAAGGGGAAAAAAAAATAAAGGTTATTTTAGAGTGAATGATAGGTATAATTAATGTTACTGACAATGAAAAGCTTAGTTGCTGAGTGACAAATGAGTCATCAGTGAGCTTGATGTTGAAACGACATGCCATCTTGTTGCTCAAATACTTACTTATTAGGAAAAAAAAAGCAATTTCCTGATCAATGCACACAAAATTCTGGGTTGAGAACACTAAGTGAAAAGTGGAGAAAAAAAATGCTTGCATGTTCTATTTTACACTTATGCATGTGCACAGCCACATTTATGTGTAATTTTGGGTTTATCATTCCCCTTTATGAGTTTTTATTGTCTCAATGTCTTAGCATGAAGGCCGTTCATAATCTGACCTTATCTTCCGTTCCTATGATCGCCCTCCCTAGTCTCTTCTCTAAACATCCAAATATTACTTTGACATTCCAAATGTAGCTCTACCTAGACATGAAGCCTGGCCTGGTCTCTGGGTCAGAAATGCAGACCATGAAAAGGCATGACCTGTTTGTTGAATGATAAGAAATTCAATGTATTCCCTAATTTTACTGGGTATGGCCTCATTCACCTGTCCACCTGGCAAGCATGTCCTCTCCATATTGAGTCAATCACTTCTTTCTCCAGGTGTCCTCAGCACTTAGTTCACACATCTATTATTTAGATCAACATGATGCATTGCATTACATATCTTTCCATCCCCCTAATATCTGACGTATCACTGAATGAATACATGGGGGCATCTTCCCCCATTAAACCATGGGACTTGTGAGACTAACATCTTTATACTGCTCATCTTTGCACCTCCCTCTGTGCTTGGCACAATGTTTTGAACGAAATATGTGCCCAATAAATATTAACTGGAGGTATTTGCCTCCACCAAAATTGCTTTTAATGATTATAAATTTGGCATTTGGTGCCTCTTGTAAACAGAGGCAAGCTGATTATTTGATAACAAAGATCTTACCAGCCTGCAGGAGGGGTGTGAGGAAAAACATGTTCTGAACTGACACAGATGCTGCTGAATTAATAATTAAAAATCGCAAGGAATGTATAAATGATAGAACATAAAATGTGAAGGGACAACACAATGGTCTGTTTCCCATTGAACAAGAATCATCTGGTCCACTAATGAAGTAGAGTCATTAGTCTTGGCCATAGGAAATTAATAGCTACCTTTCTGTAGTGACTTGCCATATGCCAGCTATTTGCTGAGCCCTTTTGAATATTATCACATTAAATCCTCTCAATAGCCCAATGAAGAAGGTAGTACTTGTATTATTCCCTTCCATTTTCCTTTTTGGAGATTAAGCTTGAGAGAAGTATGATAATTTGCCTAAATATCTAGGCAATAGACGAAAGAGCTAATAGACGAACTGGATTCAAATCAAAATATGTTGCTTCAAAAGTCCATTCTCTAAACTAGTCTGCTCTGTAGGTAAAATAAGGATGTCTTTCTCAGCTCAATGATAAAGGAAATCATCTATTTCATAGACTTCCATCTCTTCATCCTACAAATGATAAAACTGAGACTCAAAATGATAAAGGAATGCAGGATCTTAAAATCTCATGGCTGAATTGAATGTTAAAATTCATCTAGTCATCCAGAGAGATCCAAGATGGCTGATTACTAGAAGCTCAGGATTGTAGCTCCCAGGGAAAATGCAGAGAACGAGAGGACGCCACACTTTCAGACGAATTTTTGTTGCTCACGGACCAGGAGATTTCCAGCGAAGGGGCCCCACGGGTCGCCAGCGCAACTCTTGTGGCTGGCGTGGTGGTTTTGCCAGTGCCCCAGCACAGCGGTTCTTGGTGCAGAGTAAACGGGACTGTGTCCCCTTTTGGTCGATGTTTGGAGCTCCAGGAAGGCAGAGTCAACTATTCAGCTGATTGAAAAAGGGACTCAAGAAGGAAACCAGACTGGAGATTCCTGGGCAGAAAAGCACCATGAATTTTAATGCCACTGTTTTAGCCACTGCAGTGGGTTGCTCAGATTCCAACACTGGGAATCAAAAAGTGGGACATCCACTAAGAAACCTAATTTGAAAGTCGGTAATTACAAAGACGACAGGTCGATAAATTTACAATGATGGGAAGAAATCAGCGTAAAAAGGATGAGAAATCAGAGTGCCTTTCCCTCTACAGGGGATCACAGTTCCTCATCAACAAGGGAACAAGGCCTGATGGAGAATGAGTGTGTTCCATTAACAGAATTAGGCTTCTGAAGGTGGATAATAAGAAACTTCTCTGAGTTAAAAGAACATGTTCTAGCCCAACATAAAGAAACTAAGAACTGGCCAGGCATGGTGGCTCAAGCCTGTAATCCCAGCACTTTGGGAGTCCGAGGTGGGTGGATCACGAGGTCAAGAGATCGAGACCATCCTGGTCAACATGGTGAAACCCTGTCTATACTAAAAATACAAAAAATTAGCTGGGCATGGTGGCGTGTGCCTGTAATCCCAGCTACACAGGAGGCTGAGGCAGGAGGATTGCCTGAACCCAGGAGGCAGAGGTTGCGGTGAGCCAAGATTGCGCCATTGTACTCCAACCTGGGTAACAAGAGCGAAACTCCATCTCAAAAAAAAAAAAAACCGTAACTAAGAACCTTAAAAAAAGGTTTGACGAAATCCTAACGAGAGTAGACAATTTAGAGAGGAATATAAGTGAATTAATGGAACTGAAGAATACAATAGGAGAACTCCGCAAAGTATGCACAGGTTTTTAACAGTCAAATTGATCAAGCAGAAGAAAGAATATCAGAGGTCAAAGGCCAATTTAATAAATGAAACAAGAAGACAAGAGATTAAAGAAGAAAGAGTAAAAAGGAATGAGCAAAGCCTCCAAGAAATATGGGACTATGTGAAAAGACCTGATTTACTTTTGATAGGTGTACCTGAATGTCATGAAAAGAATGAATCCAAGCTGGAAAATATTCTTCAGGATATTATTCAGGAAAACTTTCCTAACCTAGTAAGGCAGGACAATACTCAACTCCAGGTAATACAGGGAACACCACAAAGATATTCCTCAAGTAGAGCAATCCCAAGACACACAATTGTTAGATTCACCAGGGTTGAAATAAAGGAGAAAATTCTAAGGGCAGATAGATAGAAAGGTCAGGTTACCCATAAAGGGAAGCCTATCAGACTCACAGCAGATCTCTCAGCAGAAACCCTACAAACTAGAAGAGAGTGGGAGTCAATATTCAATATCCTCAAAGAATAGAATTTTCAATCCAGAATCTCATGTCCAGCCAAACTAAGCTTCATAAATGAAGGAAAAGTAAAATTTTTCACGAACAAGCAAGCACTCAGAGATTTCATCACCACCAGGCCTGCTTTACAAGAGTTTCTGAAAGAAACACTATACACAGAAAGGAACAACCAGTATCAGCCGTACCGAAAACTTACCAAAAGGTAACGAGCATCTCCATAATCAAGAATCTATATCAACTAATGGGCAAAATAGCCAGCGAGCATTAAATGACAACATTAAACTCACAAATATCAATATTAATCCTAAATTTAAATGGATGAAATGCCCCAATCAAAGACACAGACAGGCAAGTTGAATAAAATGTCAAAACCCATCGGTACACTGTATCCAGATCCACCTCATAAGCAAGGACACACAAAGACTCAAAACTAAGGGTTGGTGGAAGACTTATCAATCAAATGGAGAGCAAAAAAGAAAAAACAGTTGTGACTTTTGTCTCTGACAAAATAGAGTTTAATAGTAACAAAGACTAAAAGAAACAAAGAAGGACATTACATAATGATAAAAGGATCAATGCAACAACAGGAGTCAATGATCATAAATATATATGCACCCAATATAGGAACACCCAGATACATAAGACAAGTTCTTAATGACTTACAAGAGACTTGGACTCCCGCACAATAATAGTGGGAGACTTTGACACCACATTGTTAATATTCGACAGATCAACAAGATAGAAAATTAACAGGGACATCTGTGATTTGAACTCAGACCTGGAACAAGTAAACTCAGTGAATATTTATAGAATTCTTCACCCCAGGTCCACAGAACATACATTTTTCTCAATATCACATTATACCTATTTTGAAAGTGACCACATAATTGGAAGTAAATCACTCTTCAGCATTTGCATAGCATTTCACAGATTTAAATGAAATATTGGTTGGCTGTTTGTTTGTTATTTTCTTCCCTTGTTCCTTCCTGTCTCCCCTGTTAAGCACAATTATCGGCATAAAGGAGGTTTTTGGATTGTATTCCAGCCTGGGCAATAGAGCAAGACTCCTGTTCTCTCTCCTCCTTTCTCCTTCTCTTTCATTCTTTCTACAAAAAAAAAAATCATCTAGTCAAATATTCCTACATCCACCTGCTGACAATGTCTAACAACTTTGTTGAGATAAAATTAACACATCATACAACTCACCCAGTTTAAATTATAATTCAGTAGTTTTTACTATATCCACAGTCATATGTTGATTACCACAATTTAATTTTAGAATATTTCATCACCCTCCCAAAGAAACCTCATGTCCATTAGCTGTGCTCCACATCCCAGCCCCAACCCCAGGCTTAAGCAACCACAAATCTGTCTCCATGGATTTGCCTATTCCAGATATTTCACAGAAATTGAATCATACAATATGTGGTCTCCCGTGCTTGGCTTCTTTCACTTAGCCTAACATGCTTTTGAATATCTTGAAGTCACCTCAATACATAGCAGCAAACTTTTGGCAGCAACAACGAGTGGTTGGTGGGTGAGACACATTCCCCCCAAGTAATCTTCATTAGCCCCATTCCATAAGCTACCCCAAAATAAACATAAAATCTAAATTAGGAGAGTATGTTTGATATTTACTGTGATTTGAATTGTGTTTGCCCCTAAAATTTGTATGTTGAAGTTAACCCCAATATCTCAGAATGTGAGCTCATTTGGAAATACAGGCTTTACAGAGGTAATCAAGTTAAAATGAAGTCATCAATGTGGGCTCCTATGATGAGTGTCCCAGTCACAGGGGGAGAATGCCAAGTGAAGACGGTTTATGCCACCACAAGCCAAGAAACTATCAGAAGTTAGGGAAGAGGCCCAAAACAGGCCTTTCTCTGAGATGAAACCAACCCTGCCAATGGCTTGATTTTGGATTTCTGGCCTCCAGAACTGTGAGAGAATCTACTTCTATTGTTCAGGTAACTCAGTCTGTGGTACTTTGTACCCGAACAAACTAATACGACATTTAAACACAGCTTCTGCACAAATTTCCTAGTCATCTTCGGCCTGACAAGTACATTGCTACCCTGAGGCTCCTCCTCAGGCAAGAACTGAAAGTCAACATTTCTTTAAAATCAAATCCATGAGATTTCCACCTAAGCCTGGCCTTCTTCCAGAGCTCCCTACTTTAGGCAATGGCAACACTCTCCAAACAAATATGCAAGCCAGAATTCTAGAGTCATCACTGTCCTCTCTTTTATGCCTACTTTCTCACCACACTGCGCGCGCGCGCGCGCACACACACGCACGCACACACACACAAACACACACACATTTTAAGTCAAGAGTATTTCGCAAGAGAATTCTATCAAGCCTATGAAGACAAATCAACCAAATACCTTTTAGAATGTTCCAGATCATGAAAGCCGAAACCTCATGATTCCTTCATAAAGCCAGCAAAATATTAGCATCTGAAAAAACAAAAGAACAAAAAAAAATATATAAGCTTAATAAAGAATCTCTATACAAACCCTAGCTAAGATAGTAGGTTACATAATCCATGGGTGTTTAAAAGAATAATATAGCATGACCAAACACAAAGTGATTCAGGAATGCAAGCATACTTCCTTTTAGTCTACTGGCCCACAATGTTATCATACAAGAAAATGAGAAATGGCCAACATGGTTTGCCTGTTAAAACACTTCATTGCACTTTACTCTATAACCTCATCTACTCTCAATATTTTTAAATATTTTTTCATTTTTTTCAGGAATCATTAAAAGTCCTTTGGTACCAGGGACCATGTTTCCCCCCCACTTTTAAATACACTAATGGCTTTGCCAAACTTTAATCTACTGAAATGTCTGTCTGCACAGAGTCTCTTGCCAATATAGATGCAGAAAACATGCTCACTGCCAACATCTAATGGAGGCAACCTATTATGTAATAGTCAAAAACAACCTTTCTCATCTAGGAATTTGAATTTGAAAGCCAAAAATACATTTCCTGGAAAAAAATTTTGAAAAATTATGTCAGGGCTGAAATTCAACCCAACTCAGTGTACTGCTATGATTATCTATTGCTATGTAACAAAACTACCCAAAATAAAACAATCTATTATTGTCCTATGGGTTGACTGGGCTCCACTGGTAGGTTCTTCTGTTGGGTCATGTGGTTGTAGTTGGTTGGTCATTGAGCTGACTTAAAGGCTTTCCTAAACTACGGCCCCTGATGGCTCACACACATGGCTGACAGTTGATATGGGCTGCTGGCCGGGAGCACAACAGAGGTCATTGACACAGGTGCCTGTTGCAACTTGGGGCATTCAAGGCTGTCAGGTCAGCTCAGGACTGCAACAGGCGCAGCAGTCAACAGCTGGCTGAGATGGTCTAATTATCTCCATTACATCCTCTATAACACAAAGATACATTATTAAAAGCCCTTTAAACTCATGGAAGAATCCTATGACATTTAGAAGTCTTGTTCTTTGTCCTGTGTGAAGACCTCTAGAACCACCTTCTGACATCCTTGGAGGCTAGTTAAGTAATTGGCTTTCAGATGGTCAAGCCTGAGTTCCCAACTGAGTAGTTTTGTCAACTTTCTAAACCTCTTCTGTACACCACCTCACAAAGTTGTGGTAAGGTTAAAGAATAAAATGTGTGAGGTACTTTGTACACTGCCTGCTATATGATAATAAGTTAATAAGTGGTATTATTAATATTGCCATTAACATGGCCATCATTGTTTTGAAGGGAAAAGAAAGGCTATATTTGAAAGAAAAGAGATTATTTTATATTTTGAGCATGGATAGACTAATATACTATATTATGTCCCTCTTTTATGTTGCCATGGGTTCCATTTTTATATGAAAGGATCAATGACACTATTCAGCTTACATTATCTCATTTTTCCTTGTTTGAACATATATCTTACTCTGTAGATAGTAAAAAAAAATTATAAAAAGGAGAAGGGGTGTGTGTGCATATGTCGCATATGTGTGTGTGTGTGTGTTTGTGTGTCTACATTCTGGGGATACTCTTTTAGATGAAATGAGACCCTTATCTGTCTTTGAAACCTCACTTATCCTTGAGGCCTCCTTTGCCTATTAATTTCCTGGTGCAAACTTCCCCTCCCAAACCTCCCTACAGGTGTCTCTTTCCTTGATGTCCCACAGTGTGGCTGTACCTCTGTCAAAGCTCTCACTACAGCTTGAGTTGTGTTGAGGAACCTGGACATGTGTTCTTGTCCCCAGTGAGCCAAATGCTACTTGGAAGCAAAGACTGACCACCCCCACACCATGACTCTCTTCACCCTGATTCAATCACTAGCTCTAGTACATGCCAAATAGTTGTCTGTTGAATTAAATGTGGTCCAACTTCCTCATTTTATAGTTGAAGGAACTCAAACCCAGACAGATCTAAGACTTGCCTAGGGTCACACAGCCAAGCCAGAACTAGAATCTCAGCTCCTTCCTCCCTAGTAAGTGCCTGTGTGCTCTACCAGCAAATGCTGTGGCCTGCTGGGACATGTAGGGCAGGTGGACAGTGGGACCCAAGGAACAAGTTATGTTTGTCTGCACATGGGATTGTAGACAGGTTCTCTGAGGACACTTCATAATAGCCTTCCCACCATAAGCCCTAACTACTGGTACAGACCCATGAGGAATAGCATGGCCTACATTGAGGACAGAGTTTTACAGGTGGAAATGGCAATGACAACAGACATTGGAGATGGCACAGCAGAAAGGCACTGGACCAAGAGTTGAGCAGGTCTGGGTTTAAATTCTCTTTCTTCTGCTTCTAGCTGGTTGATCCTATGTAAATCACTTCTCTTTTCTGAGTCTCAGTTTTCTCATCTGTTAGGTGAGAGTTATAGCATCTACTTGGAAGGCACAAAATAAGTGACCACCAGCACAGGAAACCATTGTGTATTAATATTTTTGACAATGACAGAGTGTTCTGATTGTCCATAAATTCAAGTTTGCTGTCACACCAAATATCTATCCACAATTTCCTCTTCTCTGCCCCTGTATATAAAACCTAGAGGCCTTTGCTCTTTGCTTCCTGATTGTATAAGGTCTTTTACTGGAGTTCTTAAGGAATCAACTTTGGAGAGGCTCTAAGTGTCTAGGGGTGGAGATGCCTTCCACCCTAGGAGTTCCTGGCTACTTGAGGATTTCATATTCTCTTTCAACCTCTTCTCTAGACTCTCTGTCTGCTACATATCTGCTTGAAAGAGACATTCAAATAAGGCATTTATCAAAGGACAGTATATTAAACAAGGTACCAATATATACTTGTGCTAGGCACCCAGAGAAAAGCACCGTTAGTAGGATTTAGAAGTATTTACTACCTCTTGGAAAAGATGATACTTAAGCCGTGCTTGAAGGAGGGTCAACTCATGTGTGGTAGTTATCAGTAAAATGAGCAGGATACAGTGTGGGTGCTACAGAAAGATCGCTTGGTATGGTATGAAGGTTGGGCATGAGTTTAGACGGATGCTGGAAAACTGCAATGATGACGCTAGTTTTTCCCCTGCCCCCACCCACTTTCTTTGCTATGCAACTGGCAGGCCCTCTTACTCTGAGATAGTGGCCAGAACATGCTCATCTGGTGATAACAGAGGCACAGAAAAGCGAAGCTCAAAGTTCAAGGCCATTTGAAGATACAACTTTTGTCAAGTCTGCTAACAACTCATTGTCCAAAGCAAGTGGCATGGTTTAGTCCACTCTCAAAGAATGAGACAAAAAAGTGGCATGAGTGAAATAGGCTCTACGAGCCAGCAGATGTGTGCACAATAGTACAGAGAGGAAGACCAAGGTTCAGCTAACTCCCCTAGCCTGCTAGCTCCTGTCTTTCTGCCCAGCCAACTTTCACTCATCTGCACAATAGAAACTGAGGGAAAGGCATAGTAGAGGATGCTTTTGATCTATTGGAAGTTCCATTTCTTCCCTCTCACTCATTGTGACTTGAATAGGTCACTGTATCCTGCTTGTCCTCCTTCATTTGTCTTTAAAGCAAATCTTTGCTCTCAACTCATCCCATTTTTTTAAGAGCTCAGTGAACACAGGACACTCAACAAATTGTCAGTGGCTCCTCATGACCAACCAATAAATTCCAAACTCTTTAGCTAGACAATCTAAGAACTGTCTAACCTGTAAGCTATTTATATTCTGATTTGTATTGTAGCTATTTCCACAGAAATCTTATCTTTACTACTCAATTGTTAGCTTCTTCACAGAAGGGATTGGGAGTTATCTAGTTTTTATCAGAGAGCTCATCTTATAACAAGCACTTAATATATTTTTGACTCTGTGTTAAGATAAAGCACTGAACAGCTTCGGGACATGATGAATGTAATCATCTCCGTAGTGGACAGAGCACTGGGCTTGGAGTTAGAAGACCCTGCTCCAGGTACTGATTGCTTCTTGCCACTTGCTGATGTTGGAAGCATCATTTATTCTCCCTGAGTATCAGTAATCTTAACTGATAGAAGGAAGTGATAATTGCTTATTGTAAAAAATGAAATGGCAAATAAAGAAGAAAAAGTTGCAGTATAACTTAGAAAGAAATGTCACTAGAATTGTTATTCAAACAAGAGCCTTTGAAGGACCCAAGTTTGTCACTGCCAGACCCGTAAAAATGCAGAGTTTAGTAGGACTTTCTTTCCACTAAACTCAGTTAAATAAATGATCTTTTGCAAAGCTAAAGTCATAATTTTATTTCAATGAGTTATAGGTCTTAAAACTAGAAGTAACATCAATGAGTGAAAGGTTTTAGATGAGATAGATGAATGGGATTTGTTAGAAGTAAAAAGTAACAGGTAAGAAGGCATCATTATGCCCACTTTTCAGCCCATGGATGCCAAATGATTTATACAAGCTAGCAAGCTATAAACCAAATATTGTATTAAACATCTCAGGAAGAAAAATATATCTATACTACACACACACAGAGCCATGTTTAGTTACTCACAGAGCATAGGAAAAACTTCTCGGACTGCTTCAGGCTGTCAAGATAGGGATCTCCCAAGGAAATGTTGAAGTGAAGGAACCTTTCACTAATGGCAAAGTCAACCAAGAATTTCCCATGTGAAAATGTATTAGTAACCAACATCATTTGGCATCATTGCAGAAATAAAGACTTTTGTCTTATCCTATCATAAAATCAAGCTCACCAAGCTTTTGAGAGTCTTGATATAGTCTAAACCTGTCACTCCACTGGATACCCAAAGCTCAGGTGGCTTAACAATGGACACCCTCTATGTCACCAAGTAAGACTTTTATTGCTTTGAGGAGAGATTGCAAGTGCTGAGAGAGGAAGAGGAGAATCATGGGTGCAATAAGGAGTTCAACTTTCTATCCTATGCTTTTTTCCATTCAGGTTTTGCAGGTATCTTGTTCAAAGTAGTTCCATTTCCTCTTGCAGTTTCCTCCTAACTGTCCCTGAGATCTCTGCGGGCAAAAGAGGGAGTGACTCTAAATAGCCCAGGCAATGTTCTTAATGGTCATTCAATTTAAAACTCCAACTGTAGCTGTAACCTCCGCCATAGTGGCCTTGTACCTCTTGGTTATGAACAGCCTTGCCAGTAAGCAAAGGATATGGCCGCCTTCATATCAACAAACGGAAGGCTCAAGCAGGACTTTTCATGAGGAAACATTTCCCTTTCACCTACGTCTGCCCGAAATTCATTCAGTACTCAGATGATCTTGAAGATCATCTGACCAATTATCCAAATTTCCAAATAGGGAGTCAGAGTCCCAAAGAGGTGAGGAAATTTGCCCAAGATTATCCAGCAAATTAGCAGCAGAGTAAATACAGAACCAAGTTCTCACTACCGTAGTCCAGCCCACTTTCCAGGTGTCCACACTCGACTCCTCAGTTGCTTAGTAGCAGTAGCTCAGCATGGATTGGTGGAGCTCCTAAGCCGCCTCCCTGGGCTGGACACTAAAGGGAAAGGTGAGTCAGAAGTGACCTCCACCCACTATGTTCGCTCAGTCTAGGCAGAGATATGGAAAACAAAGACAAACATAGCCCAGTGGAGTAAGTGCTTCAGTGGAGGCTTGCACAAGTGCTAGGGGAGAACAGAAGAGAGAAAACTCCCTATGGGGAGACAGGGTTGAAGAGGCCTCTGTGAAAAGACAGCAATTGAGCTGACTTTCAGAGGACAAATGCAATGTAATGAGAATATAAAGGAATATATATAATGAGTTGTGTTCATAGAACCCTGAGAAGGCTCTATATAGTCCATCTCTTGAGGACAGAAGGATAAGAAATTCTAGAAATGGACCAAAACCAGATCTTGGATTACCTTCTATATCATGATAAAGGACATGGGTTTTACCTGGAAGGAAAGGGAAGTACATTAGTTTGCTAGGGATTCCATTAGCAAAGTACCACAGATCGAGTAGCTTAAGGGACAGAAATGTATTGTCTCATAGTTCTAGGGGCTGAAAGTCTGAGAACAGGGTGTCAGCAGAGTTGATTTCTTCTAAGGCCTGTGAAGAAGAATCTTTGTCATGCTTCTCTCCTAGCTTCTGGTGGTTTGCTGGCAATTATCCCAATCTCTGCACTCACCTTATGCACTCTCCCTGTATGCATGTCTATGTTAATATTCTGCTTTTGTGTAAGAACACTAGTCATATTGGATTCGTACTCATCCTAATGACCAAATTCTAATGTGATTATCTCTGTAAAGACACTGTCTCCAAATGAGGTCACATTCTGAGGTACTGAGGGGTAGTACTCCAACATATCTGTTTGGAGGGACACAACTCATTCGGTAACAAAAAGTGTTTGAAGAGTTATAAGAAAGAGAGGGAATCTGTTAGATCTGCATGCAAGGTTGAACATAACGTACACATACGTAAGATAGATTGGAAAGAGTTATGTCTGGAGGCAGCAAGACCAAATGTAGTGTCCAGGTAAGAGGGCATAAGAGCTAAATTCTCAGCAGCAGGAGCAAAATATAGTGGAGGGCATCAGGTCACCAGATTGCGAGCTATCTTTTAGGTAGCCACTAACAGACCAATTCAATGCTGGAGATGAGGGAGAGTGAGATATTTAACAGGTCTCTGAAACTTTTAGTTCAAGTAAATTGGAAGAATGGTGACACCGTCTACTAAAAAAATGAAAAGAAGGAAAAGAGCAGATTGTAGATAAGGGAGACTAATTTTAGTCTCAGGCTTCTTGAGTCCAAATTGTCTACATGCATCCAAGTGAAAATATTGAGTAGGCAGCTGGAAGTACAAGAAAGAATGGGATTTTTTTTTTTGCCACAGTTATTTCAGAGGACCTACTAAGTAAGTGGCAGTTGGCTGAGATTTTGAGATATAAATGTGAATGACAGCAGCCATTCTTAGCTGCATAACTAATCCCTCGACTCTGTTTTCTGCTTTCTTCATGGCAAATTCCTGATTTTGTTCAAATGTTTGTTTGCCCATGTGCTCAAGGAAGACGGCTCTAGCCTAGACCCAGGAAGAGAAAAGAAAGGAAGGAAGGAAGAAAAGAACGGAGGGAGGGAGAAGAGGGAAGGATTGAAGGGAGGAAGAGAGGGAGGGGAAAATATAAGAGGGAAAGAATAAGAAAGGGGAAGAAACTAGAAAAGAGATTCTTGTTTAATGAACCAAGAAAGTCATTAACTTACAAAGTTGATAAAATCTCAAGTGAACATCTGATTTAGCCCTCTGATTTCAGAAGGGTCAGGTATTAATAGGTCTATTTTTTCTTTTTGTTTTTTTTGAGACGGAGTTTCGCTCTTGTTACCCAGGCTGGAGTGCAATGGCACGATCTCGGCTCACTGCAACCTCCGCCTCCTGGGTTCAGGCAATTCTCCTGCCTCAGCCTCCCGAGTAGCTGGGATTAACTGGTGTGTGCCACCATGCCCAGCTAATTTTTTGTATTTTGAGTAGAGACGGGGTTTCACCATGTTGACCAGGATGGTCTCGATCTCTTGACCTCGTGATCCACCCGCCTCGGCCTCCCAAAGTGTTGGGATTACAGGCTTGAGCCACCACGCCCGGCCTAATAGGTCTATTTTAAAGCCTTCACATCTGGTGTTTCTACTCAAAAAAAGATTTGCATTCTATCCTTTTTTCCAGCCATTCTTTTAACCTACTCTTCCTGCTCTTTCTCTTTCCTATTCTTTCTTTCCAATTTTTAGACATCCTAAACTTTCTTTTTTTCCCCCCTTTTCCACTCACATTTCCTTATGTCACTTTCTTGTCTTGGAACATGGCTTTCGCTCTGCTATATAGTATTAAATATGTATTAACAAGAAGAGAATACAGGGAGGAGAGTTTGAAACCCACAAAGTGTGATTTATGCATAGGAATGATATACTGACTACACAGAGAAGGTTGAAAAGATTGAGTAACGTTGGGGCCATTTTTACTAATAAGGAAGCGTCCATGGCCACAAAGTCAGCTTAGAAAATACAGTATTCTCAGGCCATTCCTCTGCCCCTTGCCCAGTGCAGACATAACTAATCCATCATGGTACTAATTTTCATTTGACACTAGAATCAGCCTTAAGTCCCTTCTCTTTGTATCTCTTTAGGTAGCCTATGGCATGCATGATGAAACATTTGCCATTCTGGACCCAAAGTCTACAGTAGGCTGAAGCAAGAGGATTTAGCAATTGGGTTAAGATCTCAAATGAATTGTCTATGTTACATAATCATACATTCATTCCACAAGTTTTTATTAAATATCATCTCTACATGTTGAACACTGTCATAAATAAGGCACAGTTGTTCTAGGAATTGGGCTAGTTATTGAGGTAGGTAAGTTAGCAAATCTTCACCATCTTGGATTATGGATGCTTAGCTAGAGTTAACCTACCTACCTAGGTCCTGGAACCATAGAGTAGGTGCCCCAAACCCAGCCTTAGTGACACTAGAAGTGAATGGTACCCTTTGGGACGGGCAACACTGCAACCCCAGCTTACAGTATAGACAGAGTACTTTACCCACTTCTATCTTCTGCTGTTCCTACCACATTAGTATTTCTTTCCACCCATTCTATGCAGATCTCACTGTATGGAGCTCCATTAGCTCCGGTGGCAGCTGTTCACTCAATAATTCATTCATTCAGCTGATCATTCTACAATACTGATTGAGCCTTCATTAGGTATCAGATACAACACTGATTGAACTTTCATTAGGTATTAAAAAGGGGCTTCCTTGGTAACAAAACAAGGTCTCTATGCTCAACGTGCTTACATTTTACTAAGGAAAGGCACATAATAAACAAATAATAAGAAAAATATTAGATCGTGATGAGTTCTGGGCCCTAAGTAAAACGGAATGATGTAACCAGGCCCATTTTTATTTCAGAGGTGAGTGAAGTCCCCTAAGGAGATAACATTTTAGGAGAGACCTGAATGATGAGAAAAAGTCAGACAGGCAAATTTCCTGAGAAGCCTGTGGCAAGCAATGGAAACAACCAACACAGGGGACCTGCATCCCTCCCATGCAGCTTCTACATCCAACCTTATTGCCTCTTTGATCACCTGGCCCAGTGACAGACCTCAAGATACCCAGTGACCTTGAGAACAATGCCATGGTCACCCAGCTTCTCTCTAATACATTCTTTATCACATCACCATTTTAATCACCAATTTAAACATCAGCACTGGCCATGGGGGCCTTAGCCACACGACCCTTACCTCCCTAAGATCACCCTTCTTTAACTCTTGATCTTAGTCTTAGTTGCTCCCCTAGCTATTCAACAGGTGAGGAATTTTATCTTGCCCTGGAGTTCTGGATTAGAAAGAAGGTAGCATCCTGGAAGTGTTCCTCTTGGAAGACCATTCCAGCAAAATAGCAAGCCCTCATCTTCCTCATTGCTCTATTTCAAAATTCCTCCCAGGTACTAAATGTTAGTTGAGGGTCAGAGTCATGCTTTAATGAAGAGCCACTAATCATCTCAGGCTCCGCGGTAGAAACAAGCATGGGAGAAGAGAAGCTGTGAACATTGTAAACCCATCATCTCCTTTTAGCCCACTGTGTAAGGCTTCCATTCTCCTTGCAGCTGGTGATATCCTGGCTCAGCCATGGACAGTGGAGCATGTTTTAAGCCTGAGTTTTTCAATGTGTGTCATGTGATTGTGTTCCATAAGACATCCATAGGTGTTCTGTGCTGAAAATAAAGAAAATAGGAATGAGAGACTTCTGTTGTTGCATATACTACTTACATACTTATTTTCTTCTAGATATGCCAGAACTTCTGATAATACACTATTGTGTAAGTACATGTAAAATTCTGTGAATAGTATTTGGCACATAGGGAGGGACCATTTAATGGTTTCATGAAACCACTAAACTCTAGGTTTCATTATTTTATCAGTCAGGATAGGTATGCTTATGCTTCTGTAAAAAACAATCTCAAAATCTCAATGGTTTAGAACAACAAAGAGTTATTTCTTTATCTTACATGTTTATTACTTGTTGCCTGTGGGGTAGGGGTTGGGGTTATCTTTATTCTGGAAATGGCATCACGTACAGATGCAGGAAGAAAAGCAGACAGAAAATGTGAACACTAGTACTTCTGCATGTCACTTCTACTCGCATTTCGTTGGCCCAAGAAGTCACCTGTCTGTAGCTAACTTCAATAGCAGCAAAAATACATTTTTTTCAATATATCCAGAAAGGGAGGAAAACTGCATACTTGGATAGGTGGTAATAAGGCTTGCATCGGCAATCATCTATATATTTCTTTTTTATCATTATCATTATTTTTATTATCTCTATCAATATGTCTCTCCAAGAATAAAAAATTATGTATTTTCAAAATTACTCAACCGAAGAATCACTCGCTTTTAGAACGCTGATTGGTAAGGAATGCAGCTGGGATCATGCTCTTCTCTGCAATCACTTAGAATAATTCTCACTTTGCTCTCCCCCTCCGACACTTCACTTACAGTTGTCTCATCTACTTGGTCTTTGAATGTTTTGCTCTCTCCCCTGACTTTAGATCATCTGACTTAGAAGCTATCCAGTCTCTCCTCTTGGGTCTTTGGACACCCCTTGCCTTTGTTCTACTTTAGCACCCATTCTGCTCTCTGTTCCCGCTATGACCTCTTCTCAGCACACCCAACCCCATATACACCTCTCCACCTTGTTCAGCTCTGTCTGTCACTTCAATCAAAGGAAAGAGGGAAAAATTTGGACAGTCAGCTATCAGCAAAGTATTTTATTGCCATGTATATTGCTTGAGGATCACACAAACAGAATTCAATGTATCTTCGAAAACATGTCAGCTGCCAGCAATTTCCTGGAATAATAATTGCATCTCTCTGGGGCAGGGGAATTGAGAGTTTATGTTCTTCATTTCTCCTTTCGCAATTGGCTGTTCTGTCTGGAGAAGTCGGACGAAATGACTGTAGCAGCACGATTCTGGCCCACTTAAAACTTCTATTATGAAACCCAGTTGCATAAGCTATAAGAGCAAACAAGTTATATTCTCAGGAACAAATTCGAGTGAATCAGCTCATCTGAGCTTCACATCTTCATCTGTCTCTGAAGTGGCTTATTTAAATTTTAATAGAAAACGTTCTACGCGGGGCTCAAATGGAGGGAATGAAAATAACAGTTTATCTCTTAAGACAAAATTGTGTCAGGAGCAAAAAAAAAAAAGAGAAAAATAGGATGCTAATTTCCTGGAAACAAACCCCCTATGTCCCACTTCGTAGAAACTGGACAAAGCAAGATAAAGTCTATTGTACTGAACAAAAGCAGCCATGGTACGTTTGGAGACTCACTGTCCCTTTCTGTTTGGCTGCTTAAACAATCATTCAAAAAGGAAAAGTTTCCTTTGGGAAATGTGAGAAAAGCTTGCAAGACAAAGTTTGGCACTGTCAGGGGACAGTTGCAGAAGGAAATAGAAGCAGAGATAGCATGGGTTGGTGGGAAGGCTTTTTGTTTGTTTGTTTTCTTGAGAGGGAGTCTCACTCTGTAGCCCACGCTGGAGTGTGGTGGCACGATCTTGGCTCACTGCAATCTCTGTCTCCTGGGTCCTGGTTCAAGCAATTATCCTGCCTCAGCCTCTTGAGTAGCTGGGATTATAGGAATGTACCACTATGCCCAGCTAATTTTTGTATTTTTAGTAGAGATGGGGTTTCACTATGTTGGCCAGGCTAGTCTTGAATTCCTGACCTCATTATCTGCCCACCTCGGCCTCCTCCCAAAATGCTGGGATTACAGGCGTGATCCACCATGCCTGGCCAGGAAGGTTCTTAATGGGCTTGGAAATAAAGATTTGGGCTCAAACACTGACTCTGTCATTGCTAGCTATGTGGCCTTGGATAAGTCAATTGATAGTGGCAGGGGTAATGAAGAGCATTGTAATGGCTCTCATATGGTGGTGTCCTGAGGTGGAAATAATGTAAGAAATCACTTGCCTAGCTGATGCTCCTCCAGGGGACCATTTCTCAATGACCTTCACATGCTCCAGACATGAAGTTAGCCACCCACGACCCACAGGTCAAATCTAGGCTGCTTTCTGTGTGTAAAGACGGACTCACTGGAACACAGCCATGCCTATTTGTTTACTATCCTCTATGGCTGCTTTTGCACTATACAGCAGTGTTGGGTAGTTACAAGAGGCCATATGGTCTACAAAGCCTAGAGTATTTATACCCCGGCCTTTTGCTGGAAAATTTAGCAACAGTCACTCCAGAGAGTTGTGAAATTTGGGAGTCAGCTCAAGCAAACGGGCTTTCTCACTCCCTAATCACTCCTCGGTGCCGTCACTCCTCAGTTTCTGTGTCCTGTGAATCCTGCCTCCAAAATCTCTCTTGATTCTTTGTGACTCTCTTCATCTCCATAGCCAACCCCAGATCTAAGCCACCATCATTGCTATACTGGCCTCCTATGAGGGCTCCCAGCAGCCACTGCGGCTCTCCTTTCCTGCCCATCTTTCTGTCTCTCTCTCTCTCTCTCTCTTTCTCTCTCTCTCTCTCTCTCTCACACACACACACACACACACACACACACACACAATTTGTTCTTCAAACAACAGCCTGAGTGTGGTTTTTTTTAATGCAAATTATGCAAATTCCCTGCTTAGAATCACTCAGAGAATTCCCATTGCTCTTAGGGTAAGAAGCAAAATCCTAGCAGATACTGCAGAATCAGATTCCCACCTCCTCACCACCTTAGACATAGGTAAAACGCCACAAAACTGGCTTCAGACTTCACCACCCTTCTTTCTGTTGGTCCATTAAAGGAGGCCTGCTCTGCTTGCCCAAGACGTACACATAGGATGATTCCTGCTCTAGGAAGAGGCTTGTCCTCAGTCTCCATCCTTTCTTCCTGGATCACTCCTGCTCATCCTGCAGGCCACAGAATGACTGTCACCTACTCAAATACAACTGTTTGTCCTGACCCTTCAGTAACCCCCACCCTGGTTTATACTCCAGTAAACTCATAATTGGAAATAGACATTCAATTTCATGCTTATTTTTGCTTGTTTAACTCCTCCTTCCTGAATGTAAGCGCTAGAGAGCAGGGTAAAGCCACACCCATGGTCACCTCTGTATCTCCAGAGCACACCACACTTCTTTACATATAGCAGGCAAATGCAGCAGTTGATGGTGGACATACCACTAGGCTGCCTGAATTTAAATCCCTCTACTGCATGACAGCTGTGTGACAAAACCATTTAACCTCTTTGCATTTCGGTCTATGCATATATAAAAAGCTAATGAACATGTATGGTATAATAAATAGTATGTGGTAGAGTGTTGTGAGGAGTTTATATGAAAACAGAACAGTACAAACATATATTTAATGCTGCATGAATGCTTGACATTCTGATAGGGGAGGTTGTCAGTGAAAATGGAATGGAGGAATGATTCATTTTTCCCTTCCTTCTCCAAGGAAGAATGTCTTTGGAGTGTGCTATTTAATTGGAAGTTCATATTTGTGCTCCAATAGCACTGGATTTAACTTTTTTCTCTAAACACCTGCCTTGCACCCCCTCTTTGCTTTTTCACATGCTGTTCTCTCCTCATCCCCAGTTTTGCTGGTGAATTCTAGTAATCTATTAAAACTCTGCAAATGCCACCTTCACCCTGAAGCCAACCGCTCCTCCTGCTTCCTTCTACTGTCCCAAGGACAGCCAAGAGAAATTAACCTCCCTTTCTACTGATTATAACTAACAGAGAGAGAGAGAGAGATAAGAAAGAGATTGCTCTTCTTCATAGCTGACATGTATCATTATTCCGAAAAGCTTTAGGTCAGTTGAGTCTACACAAGGTGATCAAAACTGTTACCATCACAACATTCCGCAAACACGGTGTTAGTATAACACTCTCATTTTACTTCCATGTTTTTAGTAATCTACTCATGTCTTCCCCAGAAGATTTCTATCTATGAGAGGACAGGACCATGTCTTACTCACCTTGGACTGGCCTGAGGGTTTTGTCCTCTTCCCAGCATGTAGTAGGTGCTCAGAAAATGCTTACTAATTTACAACCAGTGGTTGAATTTGTTTCTGTGTTATCGGCACCTACTGCAACTCAATAGGGTTTTGAAGAAATGTTGGTGGAATTGTGCCAAAAACGCATTTTTAGAAATGACTTCTTGCTTTCTGAAAATAAACTTCAAGGACAAGCACCAACGCAACTCAATGCAAGAGAGATGAGGATTCGCCACTTGTTGAGTGGCACATGAAAAGAAGAACATTCCGTATTATTTTGATTTTTAAAAATAGTAATCCTGCACTTTTCAAATTTTTTTAATAGACAGGTAAAATCATATTTTTTATCATGTGCAACATGATGTTTTGAAATATATATGCATTGTGGAATGGCTAAATCAAGCTAATTGACTTACGTATTACCTCACACAGTCGTCCTTTGTGGCAATAACACTTAATATCTATTCTCTTAGCATTTTCCAAGAATACAACATATTATTTACTACAGTCACCATGTTGGTGATTAATATGGTTTGGTTGTGTTCCCACCCTAATCTCATCTTGATTTGTAATTTCCATAATCCCCTCATGTCATAGGAGGGACCCAGTGGGAGGTAACTGAATCATGGAGGTGATTTCCCCCATGCTGTGATCATGATAGTGAGTGAGAGCTGATGGTTTTATAAGCATCTGGCATTTCCCCTGCTGGCACTCTTCCT